AGTAAGGCAAGTCAGTACTGTTTAGGTGTGTGACAGAAAAATATTGTGAAGGAAAGATTATTGGAGACATTTTGAAGAGGTTGCAGAAGAGATTGGATAACAAAACTGAACAAGAAACCTTGGTATCACACAGCGTTGGAGGGACTTGACCATACAGTATCATGTGTCCAGTGATTATGCTAGACCGACAACAATTACCTAAAATCTTGTTCTTTTCAGTTTAACTCACTGACCTGTGTTGCCCTTTAGTGACACGTCCATTGAATACTTCTATAGAAGATAATCAGGATCAGGGGATGATGAGATTATCCGAGATGATAGTGAGCAAACCCATTTTGTCTGTCAAATTACCCTTCTAACTGCAGCTTCAGTTCCTATTCTTTACTGTAGTTCTACAGTACACTATTATTTGTGCTTTTGTACTTTAACTGGCAGTGTCAGCTAACCTTGTTTAACAAGTACAGTATAGTTATTTTTAGAATATTGGTAGTTTATTGCCAGTGTTGCATAAACTGTCATCTTTATTAAATTACAGTATGAATGAAACCTGAAGTAAGGGTGATACTTTATGATGCTATTCTGATCACACTAAACTATTTTTTTTGTTGAAAACCTAGAGTTTCTGATATTGCATAATTCTCAACAAATTATATTTTTATTTTTTGAAAGGAAACATATCTTATTTTTGTTTACATTAAAATTCATAATAATAAATTAGTAATTATTGGTAACAAAGATAATGTGATAAATAATTAACAGAGATGATGGTAGTGATTATGATGATGAATAATTATGATTAATGATGATGATAATGAATAATTACTGTATGATAATGTTAATTATAATAATGATATAGTAAGAATTTGTTTATACTCTATATCTATTAGTATTTTCCTTTCTAGATACATTTTAAAATAGTAATAGGTTAGTGAATTTTTTAATGGGCAGTAAATAGTAACTACTATAGCCTAGCCTAGTATGGAGTCATTTAATTACATGCCATGACAGGAGATAATTCCTATGTGGATGCATCCACGTGATGAGTATGCCTACAGCTGTGTGCTGTTAGCTGTACAGTATGCTTCAAGCTGGAATATCTGTCCAGTGATAAATCATAATACAGAGCCTGTAGCATAGTATAATAGATCAATGTACTGTATAATTGCATTATATCCTGTTCTTATCATTATAGCATTATATACCATACATTACATGCATTACTATAAAATACAATGCTATAATATACAATTAAAATATTATCTGATACGTTAACTGTTATTACAACCATCATTATATCGTTGTTAGAGCACAATAAGTACAGTAAGATTGACATTGTCTTGTGTAGTTCAAAGTGAGACTACCCTATTTTATTTCTATACATAGTGGAGTATAAGTGCCCTAGAGTTTTATCAATTCAGGTACACACCATTCTAGGTTACCAATGTATCAGGAGTACCACCACTACTATTGTATTCTGTTTTATGTAGTGGCTGATATTGCTTAAATACTATATTGTTGATGTCATTTACTGTCATGGTTATTAGAGTGCCCATGAAATCTAGGTAATTTTACTTGGCTTATTCCGAAGCTATTTAGTATGTTGTTCCTGATGAGGTATTACCAAGTTAAAACTTGGGTTTTATTAAATTTTATATAGAAGAATCAGGTATTTAACATATTTTTTATATATTGTAAATATTGAAAAAATAAATTCCATATCCTATTTACGGTCGTTTGCACTTTGCCTCCCGGAGCTAGCTACTGAACGCCAAGCATACTGAAATGTGTATACTCATTACGAGAAAATGTAGTGTATGGTAAGATTTATGACTGGCCTGAAACACTAGAGGGACATAAGCTACAGACATAGTTCTGTAGTCATTCTCTGAATACAGCTGTAATTCCTCCTATTCAAATGTAGCAATATCATATTCACTTACTAGAAGGAGAATGAACAGAAGGAAAATAGAGAGAAGAGACATGAATCCTCTCAAGGCAAGATCTGTAATTTAAAATTTGAAATTTAAGGTTTTAGGAAACAACCAACTAGAAAAATTATCTGGTGGAAATGCAGTAGTTACAATCAGTGGCGTTTCTAGGAGTCTTGAAATGGGGGTGCTGATGTGGGGGGGGGGGAACATGAAGGTGAAGTGGGTGGCTCGATCAGTTGAGGGGCGCTTATTTGCAAAATAAGGTGATTTTAGGTGGCTTTTAACTACTCGACCGTGATTTTTTTGGGGGGGGGCGATTGGGGGTCGCGAGTAATTTTTGGAGGGGCGTGCGCACCCCCTAGATATTCCCCTGGTTACAATATGCCTAATATGACAGACAGTTTCTTATATTAGGGGCAGTTCTATGAGTGTTGAATTTAGAATGATTGTTTTGGGGTACTGCAAACTATGGTCCAAGGGGTGGTATCTCTTCTCTCTTGTGTGATCAGGGCATGTATCCCCGGACGTTTAGGGGATAAATTTTAGTCCATTCATTTCTTATTATGGAATATCTATGGCTGACAAAGAACGGTCAATGTGTGGTTTGGACTTCTGACCTCAAGGTTCAGGACCTGAATAGTAAATACAGAACCAAACCGCTTGTCCCATATATTGTTTACTTGATTTCATCACAAATTAATTTGTATATAATTAATGATTCATCAAGTACTGTATGTTGACTTGTAAAACCCATGAACCCAATCTATCTCCAAAAAGCATGTTACAGAAGGGCATTATAATCTATGTCAACTGAAATGAAGCATTCAATGGCAGCCAGCTGTCTCTAAAAAGGGACAGCAATCATGAAGTACAAGTACAATAGAGATGTAGTTTAGTATAGTAATCAAGGTGCTCATCTTCCGATGTTGGTGACCTGGTTTCAAATCAGGATTTTTGTTCTTCTCAAGACTTTCAACATTAGTTCTTTTGTCAAAATAGGCCTATACCCTCCTCAAACATGATATTGGGTTGATTTTGGGTGTGGGCTTATACCTGGGAAATTCCCTTTTCACAAAAAGGTGATCATCGTCATTTCCACTACCATAATTTGTTGGAAAAGCAATTTTTCAATGCTGTATTCCCAGTTCAAAACTAATCTTTGATTTGTAAAAATCAGCTGACCCATGCATTCAAATCATATCAGTGTTCTCCCAATTGAAACATTTTTCCGTAAAAGTTGAGCAATGCACGCAGTGTGAGGCGTTACCCCTTTTGAGTGGGGTTTATATATTCATAGCCCAGGTAAGATTGGAATGAAGTTCATTTATTGAAAGAGGGCCAGCCTGGATTACCTAGGCCTAATCAGTAGTGTTTTTATTTTACAAACTCAAAATGTTTACTGGTTGGCCGGTTATTTTTACCAGTAAAAATTGATCACTAAAACGACTTTGGGAGAACACTGCATATTCTGAGGCTTTTGCTCTGTGCATGAAATTTGACAAAGTGTGCAATGGGCTTATACCTAAGAAATTATGGTAAATTTATTCCCTAAACATCTACAGTATGAGATTGACACATACAATACCTCCATCCCATATAATACCTGTTTTGTGTTATTTGATAATAACAAATAAACATTCAAATTAGCGAATCTGGCTGATTTATACGCTAATGGTCATAAATTTCTATATAATGCTTTCCAGAATATACTCAAGGCATATTCATCTTAAATTATATTTTTCAGTTATATCGGCATATAAAAATTACAAAATACAAGAAAAAAATCATGCCACAAATGAAGGATTAAAGATAAAGCTGAGAAGAGGCAAAGGTCGTATAAAATTGTGATCGTTTGCATCTGCAACACTACCAACAAGAGCATAACAAAGAATAAAAATATACCCAGACTTGAAATTTAACCAGACCTTTGAACAATAGACCTTTCTGGAGTGTCAATAAAACTTAACAACTGACCAATCAGAACAGCGCTAAGAATGCGTGTGGGTCTTACAAACACACGTGTTGTCTCACAAACGCATGTGTTCGCGTTTGTTTTAACACTGCCATCTTGTGGGATCTTAGCAACCATATCCAATGGGCGGAGCTTAGCGGAAAAGTTTATTGATACATGCTAACAGTGTTGTCTAGTCCTTAATATATTCTGATGTTAATTAACTAGTTAATTACAATCACTTCACATACACCTACAGTATGTATGTAACCATTATCCTACATCACATTAGCCTCCACTGTCCTGCGTCAACACACATTTGGTCAGTAGTATGCGGTAATGTATCTGAGTTTTTGAGCTAACTAGATTATATTATTTTCTAATGAATTGCATGTAAATGAATCATTTGGCCTAGAGATATTCGAATTAGGTGTCATGCCAGAATCATGTTCAATTTCTGCAATTACTTTGATGATTGTAAATATTAAGTATGTTAGATTTTATTTGGAAGTGTTTACCTTTGAATTCTCCACAATGTTGTGTCATCAGTGCAATCTTCGTTTCCGACTTCAAAAATGACAAACTCTTCCAGTTATTGATCTGTTGAACATCCATAATTGTTATTCTGTAAAACTGTTTTCCTCCATCCTTGCTAAGTATCATTATCTAAGAATGATTTTTGGTCAGGTAGTGGACCTTGGCAACCGTTTTTCTTCCCTCAAATAAAGCCTGTATTTCCTCAATTCACTTGTCCCTTTTCTTGTGTATTCTTAACAATCCTTTCAGCATTGCATCTCAGCGTTCGTAAAACATTGCGTTCATTAGCCTTCTGTAGACAAAATGTGTTCAGCAAAAAAAAAAAAAAGAAGACCCGGGAATGAGAATTTTGCTAATGGATTAATGGCACCAAAGAGCATTGAGATTTAAATACAAGTGAACATGGAATTCTATAATTGACCATACAGTCATTCAAAGAAATTACTTGTTATACTTGAGATGCCAAGCCATCAATCCTGTACTAGATCATTTCTGTACATTAAAAAAAAAAAATCCAAAAAAGGTAAAAGAAAAATAAATTAAAAAGTAATTTTTCTTTTTTGTATTTATTTCCTTTTCAGGCAAGAAGTAAAAGAATATGGATTTAGTATAGTGATTGATATGAGAGGCACAACATGGAACTTGGTGAAACCACTTCTTAAAATTTTACAGGTAAAAAATGAGCATGTATTTATCAACTATCAAACGTATGAGTCATTTCAAGACATATAATCACTTAAATCTGGGTTGAAAAGGTGTGTTGGTCCTCATATACATACCAGTGAGGGAAGTTCTGTGCCATTCCCTCCTCAAATTCCTATAATCAATGTCATAATGTTACTGCAAATATAATACCAAGAATGCTGATTTGACAAAAAATCTAAATAACGTATCTCTACTTATATTCTAAATAAAGGAAGATAGTGTAGATTTCAAAAAAAGTAATAAAAAAAATTGTTATTAATGATAGGTGACATTTATTAAGTGTTCTTGCCAGAAGATCGACCCCAGAGCATATACAATGAATTAAGATTACAAATGTAACAGTTACTACAAAAGTAATAGTTACTACAAAAGCCACAACAGACCATAAATTTACAATATGTCAACCATAGTCTTATGCCAAACCATACTACAATAAATTATGTTGTTATTCTTAATAATATCCAATATCACAGCCTTAGTATCATGACCAGCTGTAGCATTGAATACTATTTCGAGTCTAGACTTCATCATTTAATTTTTTTTTGTCGTTTATTTGAAAACATACTTATGTTTCAAGGGAGTGACTCATCCAGTTTTGGTAATAGCACCCTCAACGATCGTTACAAATTTTCTACATAGATCCTTAAATGCATAAGAGTTGTATTAACAGTAATACCTTTTTTATATAATAGACTGGTTGAGTTATACATACGTTACTGGTATTTTCACTGTAAATTGAGATAATGCATTTGGGTGACATTTCCATCATGACGTACTGTATTGCAGTACTGCATATTAATCCTCAGAATTGATGTGCTGAGAGTGGAATAAGCAATGAGTCATCGATTTTAAACAGTGTAATCAACAATTAGTTCATTAGATGAGAACTTCTACAAGAAGATGAAATTAATGGCTCTCCAATGTTACCAGTGTCTTGCATTCATGATTTATTTTGGTGCTGACTCATGTGTCAATCACTCATTCATGATTTATACTGTACATCTGTCACTCACTCATTATTTATTTATTTATTTATAACTCAGTCATTCATCTTCACCGTGTTTATTTGCCACTCATCATTATTTTGTCATTTTTTTATGTAGTCATTTCTCATTCATTGTTTATTTTTTTATTTTTCACTCAAAATTTTTTATTATTCATATTTTTCCCACTCATTCTTCACTCATCATTCCTCACTCTTTGTCACTTACAGTAGTTATTCTTCAATCGGTAATTTTTCATTTATTTATTATTTACTAATTTTTCTCTTAATTCCTCACTTATTCTCGATGTTTTCGATTGTGGTTATTCCTGGTACATGAATAACCAATTAACATTTATTCTGTCACTCAATGAAGACATCACCTTCAGTATTAATTGATTTTCTTGAAAATAATTTTCCGGAAGGTGATTGCATATATACTATTGGGAAATAATTCGCTCCAAATATGACTTGATCCAGAACACTTTGAATTTAAAGTAAGTCATTAGATTTGTTTGTGTCAGGTAATTCGTTGTTTAATATTTAGTATTTAAAAACTGAAAAAACTAATTAAATTTGTAAAATAAGAAAACATAATTTAATAACAATAACAACAAATGCTATCTTAAGAAAAGCTATTGAAAGTTTGATGATACAGTTAATAATATGTATGCCTAAGGCAATGTAGAATACCCACCAAAGCTTATCTATAGGGTAATATGGTTCTACCCCTTCACTCCAATTCAGTCAAAAATGTGAAGGGACATGACTTGACCCAACGTATCAGTGCAGATGCGGTTGGCCTCTGCCTTCCCAATCTGATCTATGGTGTTCCGCCATTCCTTTTCTTACATCACCTGCTTCTTCTGCAATTTTGATTTGAAGTGAGCTGGGGGTTTACTGCATAATAGTAGTTCCTACTAAACTTTAATACAAGTAAGGTTTTTAAGATCCCTTTCCTCTGTCTCATGAACTCAAAACAATGCCTAAAATCATGTTTTTTTTCATACATATAATTAACACAGTATAATTGCAACTGACCTTGAGTACCATATTACATTGTATTCAAGTTTTACTCATCATATTCATACTTTGTGTATAGTATTATAGCATTGTGTTTACACTTCATTACATTATCATATTTTTGTTTATTTGTTAATGTATCCTGTTACAATTGACTAGTATGATGATGTAATACTTATGCAAGTATTTTAAACAATACTTTCTTTTTGTCCTCGGTTTCATCTTCCACTTGAGGTAGATCTTTGTCTCTTCTTAAATTTCTCCCTCCCCTGGGAAAGATCATTTACATAAGCCTCATTATGACAATTAGTTTATGAAGTACCTGTGGAACTAAAAGCCCTTTGACATATCTAAAGAGCCCTTTAGAAAAATAGTGACTCCATACTAAACGCATTTCTGTGTATAATAATTTCTTAATAATAATAATAATATATGTGCTAAGTCGGACTTAAGGGGAATATTTTTTGTTATTTTCCCTTAACGTTGTTTTTTAAATTGTTCTCTAATTTCTCCATTGTCGAAGTTCCCCTTAATTTAGGTTTTGAAACATAATAATAATAATAGTAATAATAATAATAATAATAATAATTTACTTTGATATAGAGCCTCAAATTGCTTAACATTAAAAATAAAAGCCAGGAATTGAAAAAAAATATTGTTTAAAAAGGTGGACTTTAAAGAGGGCTTTGAAAGTATTTAAAGAAGCTGTCTGTCTGATGTCAATAGAAAGGGTATTCCAGTAGAAAACTGAAGCCCATTAGAAGGAAAAACTTTGTTGAAGGATGAGTACTATAGCATAAGCAGGAAGAGATTCCAAGCTCCTTAAGCAGAATATCATCATCATCATCTTTGTAAATATTGTAAGACCTAAGGCAGGACGACCTCAGCATCATACCATTCAAGGTATAAGTGTTTGTAAGGTTGTAATCCATGGGTTGGATTTCATGTATATGCTTCTAAGTTCACACAGAGTTGTGTTCATATTCAAACTTTAATTCCCAGAAGACAAGGCTTGTCTGGATGTTGTTTTCTTATTATGTATGCCTTCAATAAAGTACAGTGACTTTGGAACCCATGTAAATGTAAATATTTTTGCAAAGAAGAATCTCAATTGATGAAATAATACAAGAGTTGAACAAAAGTATGTTGGCGGTATTTTGGTCGTCGGTTAAATTACAAATTTTTGTAGCAGATGAAAATGCAAATTAAAGTCACATCTAGCTATCTCTGAATACACATATTGTTAATGCTAAAAGAGCTGTTCATCTCAGTATGGTAGCTAAGGACAATTGATCTGTGCATTTTAGAAGGCAGATTCAAACTGTTAATCCAATAGACATATATTCATCTCAGCAACAGTGTCTCAGATAGGGAGAATGGTTAAGCCGAGACAGTGCTACCGTATTTATCTCAGTGTAGCTAAAGGCAGGGGAAGCTAATTACATCCTTGCATTCTCAAAAAAACAGGCCAAACTGTTATACCCAATAGGCTGATGCATTCTAAGAAGACAGGCAAATTGTTAAAGCCAATAGAGGCATCGATTTCAGTTCCGTAACTAAAGACAGGTAAACTGTTAAAGCCAATGGACCGATCCATCTTAGTACTGTAACTAAGACAGCTAAACCGGTAATGCTATATAGTTGTCCTATTCATCTTAGCACAAGTAGGTATTGGATCTCTGTACATTTTGTCGTACACAACGGGATCGATATATATATATCTCACAGAGGACATAATCAGTGACCGGGAACTACTGGATAGTAGTAGTCATGTGACATGTAGTTGGTGTACTGTAACATACACTGCAATCAGTCTAAAAGTATAGGAAAAAGAAAAATGTTATGGAGTAAAAACAGGTTCCTACTAATATGCGAAAAAATATGAAAAATCTGGACCCATTTTCTTAAATTTTTTCCCATTTTAAGCTAAATATGCATAGGAATTCATGTAATCTTTAGTTAACCTTCAGTCTAGTAGGCCTAATCGTATTGTATCCTACTCCCAGTACGTAGATCAAAGTATCTTGCATACCTAATCTGGCCGCAGATATGCAGGGTCAGTCACTAGTAGGCCTAGCATTTCGTGTCGTGGTTTAATTCATTAATTGTCAAATGTTTTGGTGGGATTTACTCTAACCACCATTAAGAAAAATGTAACTGATTGAAATTTGTGGTATAAATATTTTCATATTTGCCAGCGGTATTCTTGAACCTCCTTTTATTGGGATACAAAAAGGATTAGACTGCACTAAGTCTCTGTTTGTATACATATTAAAGTGTAATTCATTTGTATCCTGCACGTTGTAGACCTACGGGAGCCTAGGCTTGTGTTTATTGAATTTGTAATTACTGCGTTTTTTTATGCTGTGTTCCAAATTAATTGAACTGAGGTTTGCTTGTGAAATTCTTCATTGATATCCTTTGGTTTTCTTCTAGTATTTGATGCATAATCAAATTTATGAAGCCACTTATATTTAGTTGTGGTATTTACACTGAATTTTTTTAACGCCCATCAAATATATTAAACTTTTATGTACCTCCTTGCAATGTGCGTCATTGTTCTAATAAAGCTTAGCAATTTATTTATTGTTAAATTAAACTATAAAAAGAAACATTTTAAAATTCACTCAATATGATCAAACTTGGTAAGTAATTTAAATGTATAGTCCTTGTTATCTAAATATTTGGAATGTGCCCTTTGTATATTTAGTATGCTATACTACAAGGGTATTAGATAGCATTAAATACTAGGCTACAGACTGTTATTTATTTGCTATCCATATTTTAATGAAAATGTTAACGGTTACGTTAGAGGTAGAATTATTTCTAAGAGCCGAAAGGATCAAGTTTGGACAAATGGCAATGAAAATGTTGAAATGCATGTAAATATTTATAATGAAGTAAATGTAATTAGCTGTACCAGTTTTGAGACAAGTGATGCACGTTGATTTAATAAAAAAGAAAGAAAAATCAGTAATGATAAAGTGTTTTGCTATAAAAAAAAAAAAGTTGGTTATCAGCCAATTTAAATGAACAAAATATAAATGGTAGTATTATATGTCTGCAAATCTACTATTTATAATTATTTTTTATCAATTTTATTATATTAACATAATTGTAAGCTGATAACTTAAATATAGATTCAAGATTCGAAAAATTTATTCATCCTCAAAGAGGAAATCCATCATGTAATTGAATATGAAGTAAAAATTAACAAAATAATAAATTATTTAGTAATTCACAAATATTCAGTAATCCATCCCATTCAAATATTGATAACATAATATGTGCAATACACACCTTAACTTCACACCAAACCCACAGCATTCAAATGTGTTAGAAGAAATTAACAAGTTTCAATCCAGTGCCATTATCGTGCTGTAAATTACCTGCAAACGAAAAGCCTTTGAAGTTAATTGACTTCAATTGGCAGATACATCTACGTTTAATGGTAGAAAAGAGCAGTGTTTTGCCAAGCAGATCTCCCTGCGGGCAAGTTGAAAGCGATACAGACCAACTTAAATACTTACTATCTTACATAATGCAAAGGTTACTATTGGCTATGGGAAATTTAAGACTTGCACTGCTCAATTTGAGCATACAAAATGTGTCACCTTGTGAAAGTTACGAGTGAATATCTAAATATTTCACCAAATTTTGAGTGAAAAAATTCACTGTGACAAACAGATAATATGAATATTGTATAATTTTCACCAAAAAACATTAAAATAGACAAGTACTATAGATTGATAAATGGATATTGACAACAAAGTAATTAAAAAGTATATGAAGTTAAATATGAATTCCAGAAGAATTATGAATAATATTATGAATAACTTTTAAAATTGTATTTACAGGATTGCTTACCTGATCAGATCTACATCGCATACCTTATAAAACCAGATAGTCTCTGGCAAAAACACAAAGCTAGTCTTGGAACATCAAAACTGAAGTTTGAGGTTTGTATGGAAAACAAGTTTTGTTTTCGTCGCTCTTAATGTCCTTCATGGCCAATATAATCCAAAAATCATTAATCGCTAGGAAATCCATAATCATACCTATTTGTTACCTGTTACCTATGCTACCTGTGTAGCAGTGGCATATTTATGGGCTCTTGGGGGTGCACACCTACTAAAATAATCTTGCAACCCTTAGGATCCCCCTTCCCACTGGAAATGTGCTGAGCAAAAAAAATATGTTCACATAGTTAAAATTCACTTTATTTTGCCAGCTAATTTTTCCCCTCAATTGTCAAGCCCCCGCCATTAGTCCTCCATGTCGATACTCATGGATATGCCTCTGCTGTGTTGTTTTGCCCATAAAATGTTGTAAGTTTCCCAGAGTTTCCACCTCTCCTACACTTTTTATGATGGCAGTCCAGTTACTTTCTTCTTCACTATTTTCATTCAAGTTGTTCACATTTCTCTGCCAGTTTCTATATCTTCATATTGTTTTGTTTTTGATGACCAATGGGTGGGCTCCAGACCTTGTAAATCATCTTCATTTTAACCTATTGATATTGTTTTGTTACAGACACACATGATATCTCTAGAAGGTTTACTGAAAGCTATAGATGTATCTCAACTTACCAGTGATTTAGAGGGACATCTACCATATGACCATGAAGAATGGATAGAATTAAGACTTGTAAGTCCGTCACCAGCTACGCTTCAAAGTTTCAACTATTTATTTCTCAAATTGAAAAAAAAATCCACTTACACATCACATCTACTTAATTTTGCATTTCCAAAAAACTCCCAATATTCTATGAAGAACACAAGAAGAAAGATGTAAAAAACATTAATAACAAATATTTCAGGGCCGCCTAATGATCCACTCATTGGATTGTCTTTGACCTGGAAGTGTCACCCTCATTAAATAACAACAAAAAAAAATATATAGAATATAAAATAAATAAATAAAAAATGTAGGTCATATAAATACTAAGACCTGTGTACTTTATGATATTATTTTGGTCATTGTGTTAAGCAACTATGGAGAATATTAGTTGCAGATATTATTCAGTGCATGACATTAAAAAATTACCAGGTACCCAGTTATAAAGTTGGGTGGTTTATATACAGTAGCATTGCCAGAGATTTCCGTGCAAAATGTCTAGATTCAAAATAGGGTGTCCACATCCACCCATTCCCACCTTGGTTGGAGAACATTTTTAAAATATGCACCTCTAGGTGCCTGGAAGTAGCACTCTCAGATTGTATTTTCCCATGTAAAGCTACATTGAATTATCTTGTTTTTTTCACAGACTATTGAGGATTTTCTTTCCCGTGCAATTTGTCTTATGGATCAAATGGAGAAGCTACGTATCGAGATGAGCGCTAAAAATCCAACCAACGACATTCACGCTACCCAGCGGAGGATTGAGGACCATTCAAACCTTCGTAGGGAGATTTACAATATCCCTATTGATCGAATTAATCAGGATGGACATCGTCTACTACGCAAAATATGCGGTTTTTCAGCTGAGGAAAGTACAACCGACAGTGGTTACGGGAGTAGCTGTGGTAGTTATGGTGGACCACCGAGTATGACAAATCCAGATATTCAGAGTATGAATCCGTCGATCATGAATCTGATGGACAGCATCGGCGTCCGGCGGCAGCATCTGTATCATGTTTGGCATCTCAAGAAGTTGAAGCTTGATCAAGTTCTTCAGATGAGACTCTTTGAACAGGACACCACCGAGGTCAGGACACATGCATCAGGGTCATCATCTTTCACATTCCTTGTTTTCCAGATAAACATTGCTATTGTTATTAATTGTCAACTGGTTCATCATCACCATCAGTACAACGAGCATCAGCATTCTATTATCTTTATCATTTATTTCCATATCCTCAGGTTCATTGTCTTTATCATGGTGCATACTTATCTCTATTTTTTATTGTATTTTTTTATTTTATACATTTTGGCAAGACAATACAAAATGCATTAAAAAAGAAATAATACAAAATACAGCACAAATCACAAGAAATTATGATATGACAATTAATTACATGGATACTCAAATCAGTGCTGCCAAGGAATAACAAAAGCGGCAAAGCCACTGCCATCCAATTAGGATGTGCTATTCCGTACATAAAACAAAATGAATAAATGATTACGTCAAAATAACATAGAAATAACACAAAAATACATTTATTTTATTATATTTACATTGCCATTATAATTAATTATTATTTAATTGGAATTTTTGTATTATATATTTTATAAATAACATTAAAGGGATTTAAAATTTAAGATAATTTAAGAATTACAATTTAAGAAAAACCACCAGTTCTTAGGTCTGCTGGAAGACTATTCCAAATTGGGATACAGGATTTTGAGTTGCTCTGAGAGAACAATTATATTTTACTGAAGGGGCAACAAAGTATAAAAAACACATAAATAAATAGATAATATCCTTCATCATAGTAGTCATCATCATTTTATCACATGCCATAATAGTAGTATTCATCATCATCATCATCTGATCACCATCCTCATTATCTCATCATCATCATAATCACTATGATTCTCATTTCTGTAATATTAATGAGAATCATCTCTAAATAGGTTAAGTTGTTTTATTATTATTCATGTAGCATTAATGATTTATAGACATTCTACTTGTATATGCTTTTCAATTACTTTGTAGCTGCTATATCATAAATTGCTCATATGTTTTCATCAAATCTGAAATTTGTCTGCATTTTGTAGTTATACCATTGCTACAATCTAAAAACCTGTACCATGAATTAATCAAGAAACAATTTTAAATGTAAGATTTTTTTTCTGCAACTAGATTCTGGAAAATTTGCAGCATAACCAGGATTTATTTCTTGTGAACCACACGGACATCGGAAACTCAGCGGCAATGTCAGCTGAACTACAGCAGGAACATGAACATTTTGCAAATAAAGTTAAGGTAACAATTGGATTTTGTCAATTGTGAAAATGTTTGCACATGAGTAAATGGTAACGGTCACTTGGACACTACCGAACAGCAGTGGACATTTGACCTTTCAGTTAGTATAACATAGTCAGATCAGTGTAAAGGTATAGGAAATAATATTGTGAGAAACAATTACAACGAAAGGCAGTTGTATCGTTTAAAATAGTGTTCATGCACTCTTTTATTCAAAAGTCTTTACATTTTAAGCTCTGGAATTCATGGAATCCTTCATTTTTCTACCTCCATGATGAGACTAGAGATTCGTAGCATGTTTAACTCACATTTTCGTGGGTAAAAGAATTTCATAGTTTCTAATCAGACTTCTGATATAGATCTATCATATTTTGAAATCCTCAATATTTGGAGCCAGTATCCTTTGGAGCATTATCAAACCAGTCTGACAGTGTTCCTAAGTTCAAATACCTTTTTGTATTTGATTAACTTCTCACAAATACAGTGAAAGAATCATGCCAACAGGTGACAATCATCTCTTTTATACCTGGTATTCAGGCGCTATAAAGCAGTCGATGGTGTTCCAACCAACATCATTCAAAATGAATGATTTGCTTCACATCAGAAATACTTGAAGATGCCATGGATTTTTCTGTTTACAATATTGTACCAGCTATAGCTTAGTGGAAGCGGTTTGGCACAGTGGAAATGGTTGAGGTCTGGGTTTCAATCATTTGCTGTACATTTCGCTTGTGTCCTTGAGCAAGGCAGTTTATCCACATTTCGTCAGTCTACCAGGTGGAGCATCGCACTCTCATCTACTTCATGCTACAGAAACTGTGGAGAAGCTTCAGTCCGTATGGGCCCTAGTGGCTCAGCAAGGATTTAATTTATTATAGCTTATGTGACTCTGGTTACCAATTGTGCCTATCTCTAGTTAAAGTAGTTAAAACAAGACATAATTATAACAATTTCAGTATTTTGTATTACCTTTGTTTTTCTAGTCCATGCACCAGGATATCAGTAACATTCTGACAGTATCAAGACATCTAGTTGGCAGTGGTCACTATGCTCAGGAAGAGATCCAGTCCAGAGCAGACCAGTTACAGAAGGAATGGAGAGCATTTTCGAAGGCACTAGATGAGAGAAGCAAGCTGTTGGAGATGTCTGTTGCATTCCATAGCAAAGCGGAAGAGGTTTGCTCTGGTTTTATAGTTTAATATTTGTTATAGTATATAAATTAATACATTTGCTAGGTAAAAATATTTTGGCAACTGAGGGTATTACTCTCACTCGGAGAATGATGTCATCATTAACTTTGAACCCATATTAATCCTTTTGTGCCTGTTAAAATATAACTATGATATCTCTGAACTTATTGGCTGTGGTATGTAACATGCTTAGCCACATTCATATGAACTTACAATTTAAATACTCTACAAGCACAGCACATGAGAACATCTAAAAAAAAATAATGGAACCCTTCTTACACAGAACCGCAAAAGAATGGAAGTGATTATGTGTTAGGCGGCTTTTGCAAGAGGCTAGGAACCGACTCTTCCATAATTTTTTTTTTTTTTTGTGGGGGAAGGGGGTGGGGTCTGTCCACATTATAAAGCTATAGGCAATAGTTTATACAGGTTAAGTGTATCACTCATAAGACTACCGACATCACTACAGATTTGTGTAATTCTGAATTACAGATTGGGGTCTTTAACAATCAGTTAAGATTTGTAATGCGTATAATTAATTAAAGATCAAACAACTCAAATTAAAATAAGTATACTTTATGTAATCAAATATTGCAAGTAATTGCCTTAAAGAGTCTTTGTATCGTAGTTTTGATTAAGTGAAATATCTACATCGTTGTAGACAGAAGCAGTTATTTAAAATCACTTGTAATTTTGACTAGCTTTTATCAGTCATTCATAGAAACGTTGCCAAAACTAGGTTAGAAGCATTTGTCATTTAGAAATTTCATCATGTGTTGATAGAAAAAAAATCGAAAGAACTCTAGAAAATAAATTATTCTACATTTGTTTTGGAATGAGCAGGCAAGATAATGGGTGTTTTATCAACAGTGGCTTCATTTTGTAAAGTGGCATTGCTGTTATGAATTGAAGTCCCATTCACATTGCAATAGTGAGCTGCATGGTTAAGATTGATAAGCTGATGGAGACTAGGTGACTCTGTGCTGACTTTTTAAAAGACACAAAAATATATTGGAGAGCGTAGTTCAGAGAGTTAAGGACCTAAAACCACAGCGCTCTTATAATGCGTGCTGATTGATACTAGCGCTAGCGCCAGCGCCATTGTGAAGCACACAAGTAGCTTGGATATGAAATACTTGATTTCTGCAATTGTTACGACCTCCTTTTAAAACCTGGTTTCTGATTGGTCAATCTATTTGGTACGTAGTGGGCCTCTGTTTGTACTTGTAGAATAGTTTATGGATGATACCAGTCTAGTTTGTTTTTGTGGCTATATCACCAGTGATGTATGATTTATGGAATGCTGGAATTGGTTTTATCTTGTAGTATTTGTCTCACGTGTGGGGATGGGCTACACATTGTCGAGGTCACAGTTCACCCTTGCCGACTAAAATAGAGGAATTGGAGTCTGCCCTACTTTCGCACCAACGTCTACAAGAAGATATAAACTATAGCTATGCTGAAGTAAGTACTTAGTGTTTAAAATCAATTATATATCATAATTCATTTACCATGAAACAATGCATTTATTTTCCTAAATCAATTGTTTAAATTATTTTAATAAATCTTGGTATTCGTAGTTTTTTTTTCAGAGTCCATTATTTTGAGCACCTACTTTTAAAAATTATGCATATTCATATTTGTACAAAATATAATTTTATATAAATAGACTATAGATTCAATTTATATACACCTGAATCACCAAAATATGCAAGCTAACAGTAATCATACATGTTGAAGTCATTGTATTAAATTATTATGAATTATAAGTTAGATCATAGTATTGGTAGATGCCATGATTATTATTATAAGATGTCCATACTCATTCTCTAATAAAATATATTTGTGTACAATTGCGAGAAAACATAGAGGATAATTTCTCTAACTTTTGAACTTAACATAAGTATTATTCAGTATATTTGTGATGTATATCATTGTGGATTTTCTTAACTGATGAATCCTGTTGAATTTGAATTTAGATTATAGAATGAACATACTGTATCATTGCAAGTGTTTTCTATTGTTATTACTCCCAATTCATTGATAAGTTCTGCCATCTTGTTCATTTCAACTGAATACAAACTTGTCTGATAATTATTTTGTGTCTGTTCCTTCACTCTTTCACTTCCTACTTCATCACTGTTGCACCTCTAGCTTCGAACCCATGGACAACACATGTTAAATAAGCTGCAGCAGTTACAGGTAGCGCCCTCTACGTCTTTATTGTTCTCTTCAACTTTTGTTGAATATTCATGCATTCCTAATTAATTATTCATGAGATGATCTGATGAGCATGTGCAGTTGGAGCCTGGGTAGATATTTACAGCATATGCATGTGTATAGCTTTGGTTAATTTCCTTTGTTTTTTTTTCCACCGGTATGTTAAATGTTTTTTAAGCATGATATCCAAATGTGAAATTATGACCAAATGCCCACCCAACTATGTTTTTTTTCTTTAATTAAAAACCGTGTTTAAAATGTGTATACATTTCAATTTTGATACATTTTAGACATAATTTACATGTTTATATATTAAAAATATGTATTTAATTATTATCTTTAACTCAGTAGGTAGAAAATACATTTAGAAGTTCATGGTCATTTCCTTTGTTTTTTATCCTTACTTGCTCTGAAATATAGATTACTTTTCGCTATAAAAAAAAAAAAAAAAAAATCATCCATTTTTAGAGCATTAGAAAGCATGCATGCTATACTATACAATTTTTAGAATTTTGCAATTCATGCGTGCTATATATAAGAGCAAATAAAACTGAAAATGATTTGAATTACAAAAATGTCCTAATATATTGATAAAACATTTTGAGATGGAATTATTAAAAATTAATTTTCTTGTCTAAAGAAGCTTTGTATTTGGTATATGGATTTGTTATAGGAGGTCCTTTCCAAATTATCATTTTTCCAAAATTGAAAAAAAAAATTATACATTATCTTTGGTGTTTTTTTTTTATATTCTAAATTAATAAGATGTTATCTAAATCTGATAGTGTAAATTATTTAGATAAATAAAATATATGTGAATATAAGTATTATTGTATATACTAGCTTTTTCTAAGAGTTTGCAAATATTGCAATCTCTTTAAAATATAATGCTTTATATGTCTCTATTTTGTGCTCTATTTTGATGTAAATTGTGATGTGGTCAGCGAAAAAAAAAAAGATAGCCTAGCCAATTCTGTAGCATGCTAATAATTTTTATGTAAATTTTATAAAATGTTGTAAAATAATGGGATGAATTTGAATCTCTGTTATTGCAGTTATACTCTTTGTTATTTTTTTTTTAACAATGTTTCTGTTTCCCTTCCATCATAATTTTCATTCCCTAAAAATTTCAATTTATTTTACAGTTTCTTTCAACAAAATAATTCACCTAGCAATTGGCAATTTAATTTTTTCCCAAATGTGGTATAACAATTATATTAGGTATTATAAAACTTGGGCAAATAAACTATGCATTAATGTTCAAGTGTATAAAACCATAATTAATCGCTGTGCTGATTCTCATGGAGCCGCTCCAGTACTATGACCCAGTAACCCAGACACAATGTCGGATATTTTAAGGGTGATATATGTATGCTAATAAAAATTTTAACTAACATGATACATGACATTCTTTCTGTATTTGGAATTATAAAAAACAAAAAACCAGAACAAATACAGATTGACCTGATCAAATAATTGGTTGGTTGAGCTAAATTGCTTAGTTTTGGTGAAACCCAACCAAATCATATTTTTGACTATCTTGTCAATTGAATTGAGATCTATTCATTCCATCGTTTTGCAGATTAATCATTTCAATAATATTTTATCATTCACTGCCTACAGAGCAGACAGTTATATATTGAGGCAATCATACCACAGTGGGTGGAGTCAGATGAAAACTCATCAATATAATGTATATGTTTATATTTTATTAAATGATTTTGTTTTTTTATTTATTTTCTGAAAACTTATAAGCTTAACTTTTTCTGTTTTTGTTTCAGCTTTGTAATTTCCTGTTTGATGGTTTAATTTTATCTGATTTTTTCCGTTTATCCTCATATTTTTTAACGTTTCCTCTTTTTACATCCTTCATTATTTTACAGATTCAGTTATATTCCTTATATCATTATGTAGCATTCTGTTTATTTGTGTGTGTGTTTATTTATTTTTTTTGTAAATTACATGTGCAACTGTGGTTGTAACAAATGGGATTTTTGTTTAGATTTAATACAAGGTAAATCATTGTATTTTTATTTATTTTATGCCTAGGTTAAATTTAGGTATGTTTGTTTTCTTATCTGCTTATAAAAAACATTTGTTCTCACTTCAATGCTTCTGAATACTATGCCAAAAGCTATTTTCATAATACAATGTTTTTATGCTACTGTACATTTTTAAATAATTCCTTCTATACCACCATCATCAATAAGTACAGCCTTTGAATGGGGCATTTAGTTGTATGTCCTGTTTGCTTAACAACACATGAGTGCACAAAAAAGAACTTTGTACACAAATAAAAAGAAATGTTTAAATTGATTACCAACCAAGGGTCTATGAATGTAGAGTTAGTATTTATGTGTCTCTTAATTGGGGAAGATTTTTTTCTCTCATTATATTGAAAGCCAATAACTTAAATGCAAAGTAAGCGGTCCAAATATTGATTTTTTTCCCTCCATGTTTTCAGCTCAACGCTCATAATATATCCTTAGTATACCCTCTGCCATTAGTGCTATCAATATAACTACTACAAAACCGGATAAGGTTAACTACCAGGTCAATAAATCATTGAATATTATAATGTATTAAACTAGTCAAAGACACATTTTTATAAGGGATCAAGTAATATTAGGAACATAAACCCAAATATGTTATTTCTCAATGTTTGAGGGCGCCATTGCTTTTGTTATTGCAGGTGTGTGCAGATGGTAAATCTTTACTAGATGCATTACAGCAACCAGTGAGTGAGGAAAGCGAGGATTCCGTTACCGCTCAGGCAGATTATTCAAAGTCTGCTACTCATGTGCTGGATGTAGTACATGAGATTCTTGATAATCATCGACATTTAGACGAGATGTGGCAGCAACGTAAGACGGTATTTCAGCAACAGTTGCAGTTGCTACTGTTTAAACAAGACGCTGAAGAGGTAGGAAATCATTTACTTAATTTATACTGCATATATATACTTTTCACTCTCATCACCCCTCAACATTATAGAACTCACCAATTACAGTATGGAACAATGTGGTAATGCAAGTCCCATTATGAAGCTTAACGATTGTAGTTATTCTCATCCATAGGAAAAATTCTGTTGTCTTATAAGATTTGACATAGGACTATGGAATTGAGGGCTAGCATATTAAGCTCAGGGGTATATCTCTACTCTAGCTCTATGATAGTAATGAATTTTTATGTTTAAGTTACTCTTTTGTGCTGGAAATTGTGGTGGAATTCTAAAATTACAGACTGCTTTGATGATTGATTGTTATCCAGTGTTGTCTGACAGTATTTTAAATCAAACACATAAACAAACATTAGCAGCGTGGCTGCATCTTTTAACAGTCAATTTAATTTTCAGCTTTAAGACAGAAATCCTGATTAGATTTATACTGAAATGTAATCCAATGGTGTTTGCTGTCAAATACGATTACATCCACCCATGATGTTACATTACTCCATGATCAACCAGACAATTGCCATTTTTACTGCCAAAGGAGAAAGTGTTTGCTGCCCTCTTATGTTGGCTGTTATTCAAAGATATTTATGGTTGTTGTTGTCTTGCTAGGTTTTAAATTGGTTGGACAACTATGGTGAGGTATTCCTTGGAAAGCATACCGGTATTGGGAAATCACTCAAAAAGGCTAAGTCACTACTAGAAAGGCATGAGGAATTTGAATCTAGAGCTAAGGTAAGCCCTAAATTTTTTTGAGTAGGCGTTATGTAATTGTTAATAAACATTAATGATGATGAGGTAGTTTTGCCTATTGTCTCTTATCATCAGCCTGTAATTGTCCAAAAATGAATAAACATCGTTAAAAAACTTCAGAAAGTTACACCCTTTCCACTCCCCCATTTGTACTATAATTAAAAATATCCATTAAAACATTATTTTGATTGAAAATTATTACTATTTGTGTTGGTTTTTTTTTCATTTGGGTCGTACATATTACTTTGTTTTTTAATTTTGTTTGCTTGTCAGCCTTATTTTTATTAATATCAAATATACTCTTATTCATTATGATATACTTTTTATCATTAAAAGAATCTATTATTAAAATGTTGCATTTCTAATGAAGGTCTACGTATATTTGAAACCAGCTTCAGTTGATCCCACTTTTCTTTATGTGATCATTAGTTGTATATTTCTGTGGCATAATTTATGGTTGATTTCTAGGCAGTTGGTCTCCACAAGGCAGTCAAATGTCACATAATTGCTATTCATACTCTGTATAATTATGAATATCTCATGGTTACTATTCATACTCAATTATAATTAAGAATAGCACATTGTTTCTATTCATACTTAATATTGAGTTAATGGATAGCACATGGTATCTATTTCATCACTCATGATGAAGAGTATATATATATACTCAGTTGCATATGATAACTATTCTTTAATTAGGATTATAAATAGTACATGGTTTTTATTCATATTTTTGATTATGAATAATTACCAGTATATAGTTTTTTATCCATACTTCATTATTATTTTAAGAGGCACATGGGCCGCTCTGTTCATTATCATTATTATTACCGGCAGTACGGTTCGCTATTCATACTCTGTTATGAAATAGTGCATGATTTATCTATTTATACCTAAAATTATGAAGAGTTCAGGGTTGTTATACAGTATATTGCTTCATTTTAACTGTGAATAGCAATCAGAAAAAAAACCTAATTACCAAAATAAAAATAATAAAAAGTTTGGGGTGTAGATTATACGCATCAGTCCACAACTGAAAATTCTGGACCGTGGAACAAATTTGAGCTTCAAAAAGTATAAAAAACGGTTTATACTACACGGTTAACATAAAAACCATGTTTAGGTCTCAGTATAGTGGCAGCTTGTTCTCTAAGATTTACATTATGACCTAGGGCCTTATTCTAGGGTTCTTTGCCAACCATCCGTCACCCTATTTCATTTGGGAAAATAGTGACAAGGCTAAAGTTCATAGTTATGGTGTAAAGTGTAAGGTGTTTATTAATAATCTTGAAAAGTTTCTTTTCATTTCTGAGCACCTATTTTGTAAAAAAAAAAAAAAATAAAAGGTGATGTTAGATTTTTAAGATTATTTGGTTGGTCAGACTTGAGCAACACAAAGTTTTCTTGGCTTAATTAAAATTAGCATATTCTCAAATCATGTGCGTATCACCGTATACATACATTTTTGATGAGTGTGGTATAAGCAATCTCTGGCTTGATCAAGACAATTGTAATAAAACATGGATTATTAACAGTCTTTTCTTAAGACTGGATGATGATATGGCAATGCAAAATAGGTCATATGAGATAAATACAAATATACTGTGTATAAATTATAAATTGTTTAATTAAAATTGTGATTTTGAAAGATATTTATTCAAACTAAACATGCCCGATACTGTGTAGATTTCATTTTAAGAACCATAAGTTGCCTATTTCTGAGAATCGATACTTACCGGAGGTATCAAGCAAATTATGTAGTCTTTGTGATACAAAAGACATTGGGGACGAATTTCATTATGTTTTAAAATATCCAGCTTTAATTGCTCCTAGGAAAAAAATACATAAAACAATACTTTTATATTTGCCCAAATGTTATTTTAGCAGTTATTTCAAACTTCTAACGTTAAACAATTAGTTATGCTTGCTCATTTTGTTAAAGAAATAATGGTAATGTTTGAATTTAATTGTGCTTCATCTCACTTCTGTTCAGTATAACTTGGTTTGTACTGTTGCTCTCATATCCCGAAAGGGGTCGATAGAGAAAGAAATAAATGAAATGAAGTGAATACAAAACCTTAATGACAATATTATAAATACATGTGTTTTTAAATATGCAATTTGTAATATTGCATTCAACTATAATTGACCTAGAATTTATTACTTACTGTTTTGGGAATTAAACTTTGAATACTGTATGTTGAATTTTTTTTTCCTAATTAATAATGTGTCATTAGGCCAGTGACCTCTTAAACCATTTATTTCTCTCAGAATTCAGTGTCCAGAATTGATCTGATGTAATCAGTTTTCTTGGATCCAACTATAGTGTAACAACTTTAGGAAATATTTTTTTCATTATTTCTTCACATATATCTGCTTTGATAGAAGATAACAAATAGAATAAATTGACATATTATTCAAAAGTGAAGAAGTACACATTATACATTATCCATAGTTGTTAGTCTGTATGCAATGATCTGTAGAAAAAGTTGGGTAATCAGTAGTCATCTATTGGTCTAAAAATTAAAGAGAGCAGTATAACTTCTCTGGCTCCTATTGACAAATTCTAGCTACCTTTTGCTCTATGTGTAATATATGGAGTGAGCTATAGTGCCTGTTGGTAATTGTATCAATTATCTGTTTACTCTTGGGTTTAGCAACCTATTTGTATGTTCAGTGTAGCAACCTCTTTATATACTGTTACTATTGGGAATATGTATCAATCCCTGTGTTTGCAAAGTAGTCTAGTACAGTAATGTTATTGTTATAACAATGTTTTGATTCATATAGCACCTTATACAAGTCCAGTCTCAAAGTGCTGTAACATTATAGCGCTGGTTTTTTAGATTGGCACAAAGGGCAACCTTTCCCATTCCCTGAAGAATGTACCTAGATAATGCGTCTAGAATGCGCAGAGACCTGTACATTCAAAGCAGCAACGTCCTACAAGGTACCCATTTATATTCCTGGGTGGAGAACAACATTGGTAAATTGATTTGCCTAAGGACATACTGTAAGCTAAATTCAAAGTGATGGTTTGATTGAGAGCCAGGCACACATTCGCTGCACCAAACTCAATATATAAGTTCTATGTATTAATTGATTTGATGATGATTCCACTATAATTTTATAATTAGCCATACTTTGGTTGTTAAAATTGACTAAGTGTGTTGCCTGGATTATTTCTACGCTCTAAAGGCTTAGAAGAATCCTGAGTTACCTTGCTTGGTGGCTGAGATGGGTCTGATTTCAATCACCTATTGAGGTATTGCTGTTGGGAACTGTGAGTTTACAGTATTTTTAGCTATGAATGGTATTAAAAATAGCTTATGTGTGCCTCCCATGGTTTGTAGCTTGTCATTCTTTTAAGGGACTAAAGCGTTAATGAGTGCCTGATAAGTCAGTATAGGTGTTGTGGAGTGGTTCTGGAATATAAGATCAGATGTTTTGAATTCCTTCTACATATTGCTGTAAGTATATGTTACCTACTCAACTTTTCTAGCTTCCATTATTGTGATAAAATAATAGTAGACCTGTTTCTAGTGTACAGTATATTGCTACTGTCTAATGTAATTATTTTATAGGCATAGATATGGATGGTTAGTTGGTTGGTCGGTTGGTTTATTGATCGGTTTAATGCAGTTGATACAAATAATAATCAGTCTATAATTTATAAGAAGGCTTAGCTAAATGAGTTGAACATTGGGACATGAAATACCATTTACTTGATCATGTGAAGTGTTGTTTAATAGTTAATCATTTTAAGCTATGTTTGCATTGGATTAAATAAACTTCAACAAGACTGAAGGTAATTTTCCATGGCTATATCTTACCACTGTTTACACTTTTCAATGTTTGTTGTTTGTCATAGCTAAAAAGTGGAGCATTTCTTTTCCTATGCAAGACATCATTTTTTCTTCTTCCAATACCAATCACACACTGGTCAGAATATCCTAACTCTATATAGAGTACTACAGTGTTATGTCACGATACCATGTGATACTACACCGTTGCTATCGTTGCAAAATGAGTTCAACCGGACGCCATTTTCCTCACTGACAAACCATTGATCCCAATTTCTAACGTAATTATTAAGATGTTGTATCTTACTTTTTCTTTGTAAATTTTAAATAATGATTAAATGTGTGTTCGATAATTACTGTAATATAATGCGAGCTTTTCTGTTTTTAGTACATTTTGATGGTAAAATATTAGATTCTAAAATGCCTATTCCAGAAAGCCTATAAAGTCATTCAAGCGTACTGAACGGTAACCAACGTCTGTTGACAACAGAGAGCGCCACCTGGTGTCGTGACGACATAACTGTGGTAGTCTATATAACCCAGGCTATTTGCAAAGAGCTATTATGTTTAAATGAACTAGTTTTTACCAACTAAAAAAAGAGAACTTAGATTTGTTCAAACATTCGATGTATATTTCTGTGAATCATACATCCCAAGAGTTCCATTAGCATAGATGAATATAGTATGGAAATAGCCACTCTAATAGTAATAGATAATTGTTGTTAGGGGAGCTTATTTACTAATGCGATTGCTAAGGTAAATGTAAATATAATTAGCCTAGCAATTTAATTATTCATATCCTGTATCCTGTTGTATACATTCTCTAATTATATAAGTAGTTATTGTATATGAATATTCAAACAATGGTTGTATTTATAGGGGTCATTAAGTGGATTTAGAATTAGTATTAGGATGTAATGAAAGATGGAATTATCATGCTGACGACCTCAATCCCATGATTCCTGTGTAAGCCTTAATTTACTAGGCTTACTTTCTCAAAATTTCCTTGTCAAATTGGATATTACCAGAGTTTAGGAGTGAACAAATAACAGTTTGTTTCAATTTAAATTTTGAAATATTGTATGTTAAGATGAGACAAGCTCATTCTTATCAATTTCTTTCCATATCAGCAATGAATTAGGTAGTACTAGTAGTATGTATTAAGAAGAGTCAAAAGAG